AGTGTATCCATTTATACTGTATCCAAAACATTCTTTATTGACTCAAAACAAGAAGTTGCATACATATTTAGATACACGCTGTGCTTGTACTAGTTTTTAAATTTTAAACTTAATGAGATAACATTAATAGTGTTCCCTTCAACACATTTTTAAATAACCAAACCTCCAAAAAACACACTTAATGTAACTTGAAAAAAATCTTCTCGGTTAATCCAAGGTACATAAAGTTGTCCAAGTGAAATGACCATGCAGTAATTACTCCATGGTAATATATCGCATACAACATCTAGAAAATAATCTTCATGGCCAACAAAATGTATGTATACGATGATTTTTCTCATGACCATAGTTCACATTATTCATAGTGTGATGTGAAATATGATGAGTTGATAGGGTACAGTAAATGCTACTAACATTGTTCTAGGCATGTGGAGAAAACAAATCGTGTAACAGTATTATTTCTTTTCACAGTGAAAAAAGAATTTCAGACTAGATAACACCAATTACTCACATGGTGCATGACAGTAACTAAAAGTAAATGCCAACTGAAAATTTATTTTGCAAAAATATCAATAAGGATATTTGTCAATTGACGAAAACCACTGGCTGCAAATGCATGTCCACTGATAAGCTTCCGTAAAATGCCTAATTACCATATGTTTTGTCAACATTGTTCTGTAAACAATGACACTCAGAAGTGGTCATGTGATAAAAACATTATTACCTGGTATCACTTATTCATAGAGCTGGTGGACAATTGTGGTACCCATGACGACACTCGTATAAACCAGCCAAGTGATATCCAATGATATAGCCAGATTACAACAAATCCAACAATCATGTCAGGTACTAAGTCTACATCTATGTAACCTCATTTTTACATCACAGAAGAGTCAATTTTTTAAATCAACATAATTTTCATCCCTTGGTATGTATATAATGACATAGAAACAAAAAGCATTTCTTGATTAATTATTTTGATTAAGTGGACATTTACCGTATTTATTCTAATTTGTAGGTGTCATTTTTTGAACATTTCCGCTTTACTATTTTTCATCATCAATGACACTACTCAAGAACAATGTTTAAATGTGCCATCTATTTCACCATGGCCTGTGTCGGCATTCACGTCTGTGACATGCATGCATGATTTTAAAACATGGCAAATTTTGTAAATATGTGAGAAAATTTTTTCTCCCCAGATTGACAAGACATCAAGATTGATAGGCAACTATGTGTAGCTGGAGCCTTGAGTATGTCAAAATATAAACAAGAAACTTTTTCTATAGTGTTTATTAACTCATAACAACCTACTGGAGGAGGTTAAAGCATAGACCTTTTCTAAGGTCTATGGTTAAAGGTTACAAACGAAAATTACAATGGCTATGTTGTGACAATAAGCTTTTATCACCATGAGTGTTAAATAATTCAATCATCGATGTTCAGTTTGTCTTCGGAAAATAATTTTGTGTGTTTCAAAACCAAATAACTATTTTTATGACTAATCAACTGTTTGTGATGCTGATTTTAGAACCAGTGAAAGCCTTTCACTCTCGCCTGATGTCTAAATTAGAGTGACACCTAAACTAAAATAAATACGGTATATCTTACAGAAATATTTAACACTATATGTTCTATGTAAATACTTTAAGATTTGCAATTAAATAGGCTGTACACGTTGCCTATCAGAGCAACATTTAGAACTACTGTATTTGCTCTATTAGTAATGCATGCCCTTTTGTAAATTACAGAGGAGTTTCGATGGTCAAAATAGGTAATATTTCACTGATTAGTATATTGGACATACGCTTCTTATAAAACAAATACGGTATACATTGTGTGATTGGGACTTGACATGACATGTGATATAAAGTTAAATCACATGACACACACACACACTTACATTAACCGTAACAGTATTTCTTGAAATTGAAACAACATTTTGAATTTT